GCAGCTCTAGCAAATCTAACCAAGATCATGCGCAGTGTTCACTCGAAAACGTAACGCACAACTAAATTCGGTCCGAGCAGGTCATTTTTAGCGTACGCTATACTATTGCGTATTGCGTACGCAAGAGCCAGCAACGCTATACTAAAACTGTCTACTGTCTATTGACACACATCCCCGTCTCGACCATTGGCCATCATCTTCCTCTTCCGAAAGATAGTCATCCAAAAGAAGAAGCCCAAGGCCTTGTATATCGTGAAAAGAGTCAAAGTACAAGCTAGCTGGTGGAAGTCAACCATTCCTTGCGCCTCATACGTGGAGTAAACCAAGAACTTCCCCGAACGTCTACGCAGACGCAAATAAGATGTAAAAAATAAAGGCAGATAAGGTAACACTCTAGCGGAACATGCAAAAAAGAGAAACCACGTCATCGACTTCAACAGCAGTTCCGCACTAGACACCGAAGGAACTGAAAAAAAAAAAAACTAATCTTTCTAGAGTCATGGCATATTCAGCATACAAAGAAGAACCTGAACCGGTCGATCGGTACCCTTCCAAGCAGTTATGTTAACGGGCTTCAGGGTCTCACAAAAAGGAGAGGACGATTAAGACGGCAGCGACTAGGAGAAGAAGAGAAAGACGAGCATAACAGCCACTTCCCTGGCAAATAGCGAGCGCTCGGCGCGCGCACGCCCAGCGGGTTCTTGTTTCTCGGCGCGAGATGAGAGCAATCTTTTCGTGTGCCGCTCGTAGATTGGAGCCAGTGGGGCGCTCGCCGAGCGGCTCCAACCGCTCCGTGGAGAAGTGGCGGAGCGCGTCGAGCGGTCCGCATGTAGTTCTACGCGCAGCCTTTTTCGGAGGAGTACGATCTGTAGTCACCCGCCACATTTCAGTTTCCGTTATCGACATTCCTGCGGGGTAGTGAAGGAGTTTCGCGGCTTTTTTGTTTCGATTGCTGGGTAGGCTCTCTTGGTGTGCTTGCTTTGGCTCCCCTCGCCATGACCGACTCGCCCGAGCATACTGCGGCGATGACATCGTTGCAGTTGATTTCAGGAGGTCTCATAAAACGCAGTGACAGCGAAATCAGTGACAGCGACGAAGATGCCAGCTTAGTTCCAGCTCGTGTGACGACGAGGCAGCCGTTCTCGGTGAAGTGTTTGCCGAGTCGTTTGCCTTACCATCGTAGAGGCCCAAGATATCGCGTCAGGTTGAAGGCGTTGTGCGCGGCTATTCGGATGAAGAGCTAGGTATGTCGTTTGTTCGTTTTGTGGTTTCTGTAATGTCATTGGAATAATTAGACGACAACGAGCCAAATACTCCGCAGTTAAGAGTCGCCTTCAGAGGTGACGATCGCTTTACGGCATACGTGTTTGGTATTGCTTAATTGCATTCAACGGCTTGTACAAGTCCTTCTAGTTGTCTTCATCGGGCTCATATAACTGCAGGGAAAAATAAATTGTCTCAACGTCGGGGTCACCGTTAATTAAGTAGTGAACAATCTATTTTTTGTCAAAGCATAAAGTTCCGATCAGAACTTCATGTTTTCAGCAAGATAGCAATGGGAACCGAAACAGTTGAAAAGTGAGAGCAGACGCTCTGGAAGCGGTGGCGCTGGGAACGTTACGCTCGATCTGCTCCGCAGCGCGTGCCACTGGAATGGATCACGTGACCAATCGCTCACAGAGACCGACCGTTCGACGACCGCTAGCGCGGAGCGCTCGGCATTTGCCAGGGGAAGGGGCTATAAGACCTTCCACGATTTGGGTAAAGTCTCTTCACACTTCTTCAAACTTCTGTATGTTTCGCATACCTAATTTTTGCCCTTGAACTGAAAACCTCAAAGATTATTTTTCGGTTTCCAGTTGAAGTTCTTTTTCCAGAATGAAAAGAAATTGTAATGTTTCGGTTTGATTCCGGTTTGTACACAAATTGAAGTTTTTTTCTCATGTTTGGTTCTCTTTTCAGTTCGATGCCCTGGAGGAATAATGAAATCCACAGTCTACGATACAGATGACCTCGCTCGTAATTATACCTTAAAAAATGTACAGACCGCCAAGGCAGCATCAGTTTGTATTGTCGATTCGGTCAATTAATCGCAACTTCAGTGTCGCGTCGTGCAAGCAACTAAAAAAAGGGTTGGTTTTCAAGGCACAGTGCGTTTCCTATAACTTGAAGCGGGCGGCCTCCAAGTTTGATGTACAGGTTGTAATGCCAGCTCCTGATAAACTAAGGAGGCCATGTCCGAAAATCAACAACCAGCAGGAACAAACGGCAGAATGTACTGTGAAACATCAACACCAATATCCCACCTGCATCAGCTGTGTAGTGTACGAAATACCATTTTCGTGTGGAAAGGTATACGTGGGACAATCCGGACGTTGTCTAAATGTCAGGCTAAAGGAACATGCCTTAGCACTAAGGTCATCTCCCGCGGGACGTCTTGCGGTGCATGTAAGGGACTGTCTGCGTACCCCACTCTTCAAGCGCACGAAAGTACTCAAACGGTTCTCCGGTCAGAGGAGTAGAGAACTCTTCGAAGCACACGTTCCTGTATAGGCTCCCTACGGGAGCCAGAGTTGCACGTTCATCCCCGTAGCGCCGTCTTTCCTGCACGGCATGTTGATCGTGTTCCTTAAGGTGTATCCACACGACGGACCAAATTGCTGTTTTGGTCCGCGGGCCGCGCATCACGTGATCTTACGTCACCGCTTTTCGAGGTCCGCCGGCGGTCCGCGGCCCGCGCTTGTGAGAAATGCCAAGCCAGTTTTCTCGCCCGGACCTTGGCGGCGGACCGCGGCGTTTTTAGTATAATTGAAGTGCTAAGTCTGGCAACAAGCTGACTTTTGTTTGGATTGGAATCCAAATCCAAAGTCGTGTTCTTTTGGCGCCAACTGTTGAAGACGAAGACGACAAACCTTTTGTTGTGCGACGATGGCGGCATGGTGCAACGATGCAACTTTTTACTTCATTGCGCTCGTGGAGCGATTTCCCGCTCTGTGGGACAATAGATGCATGCCCTTTCCGGTTCACTTAAGTCCTCCTCGTCTTCAATAGTCAACGCCAAAGCCACCGCGGCCAAAAGTCTCTTTCGTTCAACCTCCATCTTGGCTCCTTACAAATAGCCTCAAAGCAGCTCGTTGCACGCGTTTGGCGGAGCTGTGAGGTCGAGGGTTAGACCGGCCCGTTCACTCTGTCGTCTGCTCTTTTGGTCCGCCGTGTGGATGCTCATTGCACCCGGGCGGCCCGCGGGCCGCGCATCACGTGATCTATCGGTCCGCGGCCCGGTCCGTCGTGTGGATACACCTTTACGTGACTGAATTCGGTGAATAGCGGCGCCGCGCGTTCAAAAGCCGGGGAACGTGCGCCGGGGCGCGTGCAACATCTACTATCCTGCACGGCACTTGATCCGACTCCTCACGTGATCGTATCTCGGCGAATAGCGGCGCGGCGGCACGTGGAAAACAGACGCGCCACTCTACGGAGCTCTACGTCATAGCAGTAGTATCCAAGGGCGACGCCTGCATCAGTGCTCCTTCAGTAGCCTTGTCGAAAAAGAAGTTTTACCTCAGCCTTTCTCCCTGAAGATCCTTCCTACACATTAATTTTTTCACTAAATTGTTTTCCTTATTCTCTTTTCTTGTTTCTTCTCCTTCTTTTCCTTCTTTTTCTTCCCCTTTTCTTTTATTTTCTTTATCCTTTTCATTCTTTTTTTCTTTTTTTTGCTTCATAATAACTGTATATACAGTAGAAAAGCATCCTTCTGTTTTTTATCCGATGCTTTTTTATCTTCCTTCTTCCATCTTCCTTTCTTGTCTTTGAATTACCTCACTCTCTTGCGTCTTCTTTTCTCTTCTAGATAAAAGGCCAGTTGTCAGTTAGCGCTCTTTCCTGTCTTCTTGTTCTTCCTTCCGTCGTCCTTGCGCTATTTTTTTAGTGAAGTAAGCGGCTTGCCCCGGAAGTGGGCGCTTGACAGGCTTTTCAACTCTTCCGAGTGCTGGTTCGAACAGCATTCAGGACGGTGGGGTTTTTCTTGTCATCGCAAGGGAGCCTGCTTGTTGCGGAGTAACAGTGCATGCGGTTCAATCCCGACCCCTGCCCGTTTTGATCTGGATGTGCATCATACCGGCGTGAGGACGTGTATCACTACTGCGTCATGCACGGTAAAGAACCTATTCTAGCGGTTGTACTGCACTGGCTAAATTGCTCATCTACGGCTGGGAGACTCGTCACCCATTGAGGGAGACCAAGTTCTAGGCTGCATAAACATACACACAACCCAATTTGTTTTTAACAGTTCATGCGAAACCCGAGAAGTCTTCTGGGAAGCCATTCGATGCGAAAATGTTGAGATTCTAGTTGATCAAGTGTGCGTATGTCCCACGTTCAAATGCTTTATTCTCGGGATTTAATCCAGAACGGAAGCATGAAAACCAAGTCAAAGACACAAAAAAGCACGGTCCGAAATATCGACTGAGTGCACTAGGAAGGCCAGCGCACGCCTGACTTCCGGGACAAGCATCGAACTTCCGGTGCCTTCACTTGCGCCTAAAGCCCCTCGATGTGTTTGCGCAAGTAAAGCAAGGGGCTTTGGAGATCAGTGGGCTTTACTTGCGCCAGGCTCGGAGAGCAGCTAAGCGCCATCCTTTCCTTCATAATCATCGTCACGGGAACCTTGAATAGTGCTCGACGACGTGCGAGTTTAAAATACCGACTGGGCACTGTAGCATATCATTAATGAATCAATTCTATAACTCACCACGGTCAGCGTGTTTTACAATAAAAACGTTGAATTTTTGCCACGTCTTCCTTGGTCTTTGTTTTTTGTTGTTTACTGCAATCTGGCAAGATGAAAGAAGAGGCAGAAGCGTCCCCAGGACGCTGGCCGGGCGCCGGCTTTGGGTTGTCAAAATTCCAGGCCAGTGACAACACCGACGAACAATACTGACAGGTTCGTGGCCCTGCCGGGGTTCCTGGGCGGAGCCCGGCATCCCTCTGCAGGGGGCATGCGCAGGCTGAGCGTGTGCAACTCCCCCAGCGGCTCGGTGATCCTGCTGAACGAGAGCTCCGCCTCCAGCTTTCTACCTCCCACATCCAGCTCTATCCGCCTGGCCGGCTGCGAAGCGGCCGAGCAGATGCTGACGCGATTCGTCAGCAGGTTCCCCAAGGACGGCAGGAGTATGATGCTCTACGGCGCCTCCGCGTCGTCCTTCCTCTACCTGGCGAAGCAGGTGGCCAGAAAGGAACCGGCGATGGAGGTCCACTACGTGAGGATGAGACACTTCGTCGGTCGCTCCGCGGGACAGGACAGCAAGCAAATGCTCTCCAACCTCTTCGCCAAGGGTCAGGCGAAGGTGAAGATGGTTTTCTTGTACCTCCTAGACAGTCTCTACGCGGGTTCTATGTCAATTGAGCAACTAGAGTTCGCTGGAAAGGTGAAAGAAGGACTGCCTGCTCATCTCAAGCGCGTGCTTTCGACAAGCAACGACTGGCTTATCGTCGTAGCGTCCGCGAGAAAGCCCTGGCTGCTACCCGAGGAAGTGCAAAACAATTTCCAAAAGTGGGTGTACGTCGGCCTGCCCGGATTTCAGGAGAGAATCGATCTTTTGAAGGCTTGCATTGGGAAGATGCTGTCTTCGCTTAGCGACCAAAATTACCTCCAATTGTCTCGAATGACCGAAGAATACACGTATTCTGAGATCGGTAATGTCGTCGAAGAAGCTCACTTAGGCCCTTTCAAGAGGATCGAATCGGCCACGCACTTCGTGAAGAAGAATGAACGTTGGCATCCCTGTGCGTCTACGGATACAGGGGCCGTGGAGTTGTCCTGGCACACGATGAAACCGGCCGAGGTCAGCGAACCAATCATCTACGAGGACCTTCTTGAAGGCTTCGTCAAAGTCGAGCGGAAAAGGACCGACAAGTGCATGAGAAACCTGCAGCGGATACGAGATACTCGATCGCAAGGCTCCCACCTCGCAAGTGCTTCCAGATAGATTACTTTTTTTTCCTGTTTAGGTTATTTGACATAATATAGGTGTGAATTGGGGCGCATCGTATTTAGTGTACGTTGAATCCGTCGATTACGTTCTTGCACCGAGCAGATGCCTGAATCATCGCCTTCAATTTTAACAAAACTCATAAGAGGAGTCAATAGGTTACCTCTTCGATGAGCATATGATTCAGCAAATACATCTATTACCTCTAATTTCTTCGTTGTTTTATTTAGCCTATAGGCGAGCTCAGAATAGTTTTATTTTTACAAATATTTTTTTTTAGTTACTTGCTCTACGATATTTTGCTTTTATTTTCTTTTTTGGGTGAGTTTTCAAGTCACAAAGTATTTTTCTAAAAGTGAGTTCGTTTCACACGCACTGGCACCGTTCGAGTACTCTCGCAGAATGCATCGCACTCGCGGAGTGTCGCAAAGAGAAGAGGACTCAAACAAACTTGCCAGATGTACCGAGTGCAGACTGATGTTGTCGCTATCTGTGTTGTAGAAAGAGTACCGACCTCAAACCGAAACTAGAGCCTTTATGTTTGACGTGATGGGTGGGAATGCGAGAGTGCAGTCGCGCCCAACGTTCATCGATAAACGTTGGTCGCTGTTTTCGATGACATCAAGCAACTTAGCTGTGGTAGAGATATTTATAGACGGTGTAAATCTCCGCAACCTGCTGACTACAAAGCTGCTGGTTTCGGTATTTCAATTCTTATAATCGTTCATACCGGAGAAAAGTGATGGTGCTGTCCGCGCAGAAGCTTGATCCGTTTGAGCATGGTATTGTGCGTCAACAACTAAAAGCGTACGGCTTGGAACTAGTCTGTTTGAATATCCAGAAAAAACGTTTCGCGGGTCTTTCGATTTCGATTGTCGTTACAGGCACATCAAATTTTAGCCTTGGTGAGGGCGTCCAGGACGAGAGCTTTCACAAACAAAATACGGCGGTGCAAGATAACTGATGTAGGTTAATATTAAACATGATGATGTTGCCCTAGCCTCGGGTAAAGTCACTACGTTTAGCTTCTTCGGATGCCTATTGTGTAGGCACAGGTTTCTGCTGGACAAATGTTCAATTTTTCACCAGCTCACGGATGGCGATAAAGATCTCGGGGGCCGGTGATGCGTTTGTTCTGAGCATTTATTAAACACTAGTATATTTCAGCGTCTGTGCGGCAACAGAGCGACTAAAACCTGCAAATAAAACACGGGTTGTCAATCGCTTTCTTCATGAAATAGCGAACGCTCACAATTCAAGCTCGTGTTTGATTCCGTTGCCCGCGGGACGCGATTTCTAACAGAAAATTTACCTTGTTATTGGCTTAAGCTGAGCAAGTTGGTTTGTTATTGATCTTAAGCCAATCAAGGATTAGCAGGATTAAGTCATTCAAGGATTAAGGAATCAAGGATTAGCAGAAAAAGAAAAAGAGGCATAATTAAATGTTGCTAGTCGAGCGGTGCGAATGTTAAATTTTTTCTCTGTGTGTTTTTCATGTTCAGCTGGCCCCATTCACAAGAAAATTTACTTTTTTTCCTTTCTGCTTTCCTGTACAAATGACACGTCGTAGCAGGCGAACCCTCGTTGTCTGCTTCCGCTCCTCGCCGGAGCAAGGCATGACGGGGTTGCATTTTGGCGCACGCTGAATATTCTCGGTGCAGCGAGCGCATGCACGCGTGGGGTGCCGGCGCTGAAACGAACTGGGAGAATGGAACCACTCGTGGAGTGCCGGACAAAACAAAATCGCTCCACTCCGCAAACTCTCGTTTATGTTTTAGAGCGCAGCTCTTAGGCGCCCGTTTCCGGCTTGAGCGGCGTCGCCGTCGGCGTAACCAAGGTCACGCCAAGGTCACGTGACCCCAAGGTCACCCCAAGGTCACGTGACCCCCTCCCAAGGTCACCCCAAGGTCACGCGACCCCCCCCAGGCCACACCAAGGTCACGTGACTCCCGAGGTCACGTGACCCCTTCTAAGGTCACGTGACCCCTAAGGTGACCCCAAGGTCACGTGAACGCCAAGATCACGTGACCCCCAGGTCACGTGACCCCCCAAGGTCACGTGGTCCCCCGAGGTCACGTGGCCTCCTCCCCGAGGTCACGTGCCCCCCCCCCCCAAGTCACGTGACACCCCCCCGGTCAGGTGACTCCCCCGGAGCATATTAAAGAATGAGGGGAGGAGGAGGACAAGGAGGAGGAGGAGGAAGGAGTCTTCCCTCCCCTCAGTGCCCTTCCCTCCTCCTCCTCAAGAGCTATGCTCCAATTCGGCGTTACAGGGAGTTGTGAACGGCTTTCACTTTTTTCTTTATTTTTTTTAGTTTAGGGCGAATAGAAAAGACCGAACTCTCGTTTGCCCAGCAAATGGGTCGTATATCGCAGTGTCTCCCGAGCTCCACAAGACGGTGATGATACAGAGCCGGTATTGACCGAGGCGCGCGAGCACGGTGAGAAGCGGTTCAGGGCCCGTTTGCTCGAAGCGCTAACCGCGGCTAAAGTTAGCCGCAGTACCCATTAGAGGAATTTTGAGATCACTTGACTGGCTCGGTAGGGATGCGGGGAAACATGGCAGTGCTCCAATGAGTGAGCGCCGCTCGCTTTGGAACTAATAGAGAGTTTTAGTAGACCATTTTCATCTTGCGCTCCGCTCTGAGGGTGCCAAACTGCGCATGCGCGGCCCGCTTCGCTGGAATGGAAAGCGGAGGTCCAAAAACGCGTTTTAGTAGAGCGTTTTTCTTCAGCGTTTTGAGCGGGTTCGAAAAATTTCCTTGCGTAGCCCCACAAGTGGACGTTTATAGTACTAGTAAGACAAAAAAAACCTAAGCGTTAACACCAAGAGAGTAAAAGGGAGCGTGATTGTAGAGGTAGTAAAAACGAAGGCGACAGTAATGAACACAAAAGAGTAGGCACACACCTGAAGAAATATTAAGCTATAAAATATAAATATAATCGTTCCACCTTGTGTGCGAGTGAAGCCGAAGGTATAAGCATGAGCATGTTGCTCTAAACGGTACTTGCACTGCACGAGCGCGCGTGCTTATCAAGGATGCTGAAAGGCCGGGACTCGCTCTTGTATAGTTTCTGCTCCACTCGAATTAAAACTGAAACAGATTTACTTATTCGAAGTAGAAAAATAAGAGAAAAGGACGAAGTTTGCGCATTGCGAGTACATCCTTTTGCGTAGTACGAGTACAGTGTTGCTCAAGGCTAGCAAGGCATCTGCACGATGAATCCCCGCTGTTCTCAAGGAAGGAGACTTCTACTAACGAGATTAAGCTGGCGAGACATCGAATTTATGACTCGTATCCCTCGTGCCATCACGCGCCGCAGCTTCCTTTCCGAACACGGTTTGCTGGATATTTCCAACGTAGAAAAGAAACCCTTTAGGAAGCTATCCTGCTTAAAGAAGGACCTGGCTGTTCTGCATGTGGGCCTCCAAATACCAGCACCCGACAGATTGGCGCAGGGTGTTGCCAACCTGGCGAGACGCTGCATGGTTCTTCCTCGACTGGCCTATCCCAACCGTCTGTTCGTACTTGCATGAGCGTTTGGACGGAACTTGTCGGTGTTCTTCAGTTCTGTGAAGCTCATCGTGGTTCACATCAACGAGAGGTTCGGCCACCTACTCGATGACACGAACAAACATAGGTGGTTGACCCTGGCGAAACTAGAGCTGTGCTCACAGGTGAGACCCTGCATGGTTTGTGTAAATTTCGCGTTTCCATTGTTTCTAGCACAGCTGCTCTGTCTGGTGAAAAGTTACTTTTTTATATACGCCAAAGGTGTACATGGGCAGTGTCAGGACAAGTCACGACGAGCGCGTTCGTAATCTATGAGTGTTAGTAGGCTGCTTTTATGAGCCCTGTTTGCTCTACTCTACGCTCTGCGAGAAGCATCGTCCCCACCGCGCATGCGTGGCCCGCTCTGAGTTGGAGCGCGTGCGCTCCGCTTCACAAGTTGTAGAGCGGACTACCCTCAGCGTCCTTAGCGTGATCGCTTGGATCTCAAGATGGCTGCACTTACTCAATACGCGTCGATGTTTTGGACCGTGACCTCAGCTTGAAAGAGGTCGAATCAAGAAGTAAAGCGTACGCCCTGCGCGTAAAAAGTAAACCATTCGATTTGAGCTTTATGTAACACAAAACAGCATAATCAAACGAAGTGAACGAGTATCATTTTGCAACCAGCACGGCGTCGGTAAAGTCGTCGCGTTTTGTGGACGTCCTATGGCTATGCAGTCAGATGTATGGGTGCGCGTGCTTGAACGCCGATTATATCTGTGCATGCGCCCTCCTGTCGAAAATGCCACTGAAAGCTGACCACGAGCATAGCGCTCGCAAGCTGCACCAAAGAAACCATTCCCCTCTCAGCTTTATTTATTCACACTCGCTCGCAACTTTTGAATTGTTTAACTTTCCTCAAGAAATGTTTGCATTGGATTTCCTTGGTAGATTTAGAAAATAATAGAAACTTGAATGCAGCCTTTTTAAAAGTGCAACCCATGGTGCCGCTAGTCTTCGAGGCCGCCTTATTTTGGCCAAGTGTCTAGGGAGCAAGAGAGCTACGTCATTGTTTGTCGCGGATGCGAGTTTAAATGTATTAGACACGAATGCTGCGTCAATACTGAATATGAAATGGGTTCTAGTCACAAGTATCGCACTAAAAGCGATGCCCAAAATATGGCGGCCGAATATGTTACCCGGTGGTGTTTTGAAAAGAGTTACCAATAACGGTCGAAAGAATATTCCACGTCAATTTTTTGTCTGGTGAAAACCAGACAGGCATAAACAATGCAAAATTTAGCAAACACAACCCAGGACTTCTAAGCAATAGTGGTAGATTAGAACAGTTTTCAGAAGTTTCGTTTTGAATTCCGGCGTAGCGGGCCTCGCATGCACAATTTGACGGCCTCAAACCTTAGCAGAATTAAGGAACAACTATATATATATATACATTAATTTACGATACCCAGTTTTTTACAACCCTACAATGGAAATACGCTTT